GAAACCGATATTCATTTCAAGCCCACCGACTCCCACAGCTACCTAGAATACTCCTCCTCCCACCCACCTTCCTGCAAAAATGCTATCCCCTATTCCCAATTCCTTCGCCTCCGCCGCATCTGCTCCCAGGATGAGGCATTCCACTCCCGTACATCTCAGTTGTCCTCGTTTTTCAAGGACCGTAACTTCCCCTCCTCGGTGGTCGAGAACGCCCTCAACCGTGTCTCCCACATCTCCCGCACCTCATCCCTCACACCCCGTCCACGCAATAAAAACCAAAAAAGAATCCCCCTCGTCCTCACGTACCACCCCACCAACCTCCGGATCCAACGCATCATCCTCCGACACTTCCGCCATCTGCAATCCGACCCCACCACCAAAGACATCTTTCCCTCCCCACCTTTATCTGCTTTCCGGAGGGACAACTCTCTCCGTGACTCCCTTGTCCGCTCCACACTCCCCTCCAGCTCCACCACACCCGGCACTTTTCCCTGCAACCGCAGGAAGTGCTACACCTGCCCCCATACCTCCTCCCTCACCCCCATCCCAGGCCCCAAGAAGACTTTCCACATCAAGCAGATGTTCACCTGCACATCTGCCAATGTGGTATACTGCATCCGCTGTACCCGGTGTGGCTTCCTCTACATCGGGGAAACCAAGCGGAGACTCGGGGACCGCTTTGCAGAACACCTACGCTCGGTTCGCAACAAACAACTGCACCTCCCAGTCGCGAACCATTTCAACTCCCCCTCCCATTCCTCAGACGACATGTCCATCCTGGGCCTCCTGCAGTGCCACAACGATGCCACCCGAAGGTTGCAGGAACAGCAACTCATATTCCGCTTGGGAACCCTGCAGCCCAATGGTATCAATGTGGATTTCACAAGTTTCAAAATCTCCCCTCCCCCCACCGCATCCCAAAACCAGTCCAACTCGTCCCTGCCTCCCTAACCTGTTCTTCCTCCCACCTATCCCCTCCTCCCACCTCAAGCCGCACCTCCATCTCCTACCGACCAACCTCATCCCGCCCCCTTGACCTGTCCGTCCTCCCTGGACTGACCTATCCCCTTCCTAACTCCCTACCTACACTCACCTTTCCTGGCCCCATCCCCGCCTCTTCGACCTGTTTGTTTCCTCTCCACCTATCCTCTCCTCTATCCCTCTTCTATCCGCCTCCCACTCTCTCCCTATTTATTTCAAAACCCCCTTCCCCTCCCCCTTTTCTGATGAAGGGTCTAGGCCCGAAACGTCAGCCTCTCTGCTCCTATGATGCTGCTTGGCCTGCTGTGTTCATCCAGCCCTGCACCTTGTTGTCTCGGATTCTCCAGCATCTGCAGTTCCTACTATCTCTGGTTAGTTGTTTATACAGTTTAGAAAATTAGACTTGAGAAAGTAACTTTTGTTTTTGATTTTGTCTCAGATTGATATTTTTAAAAGAAGAATGCTGAATGTAATGAAAAATGAAGTGTGTGTGGTTTTAGGTGATAGCTTATGTTTTGAGAAAACTGAATATTAGGAACATCTTTACTAACAGGTATGGAATGGATTAAAGATGCATATGGCAGCATTTCTTTTCAAATGTGCTCAGAAGTTATAAAATCCCTGCTCTAGGAATGTTACAAGAGCAGAAATTGTTGGTGGAATTCAGCAAGTCTGGTAGCATCTGTAGGAAGAAAGCAGAATTAATGTTTCGAGTCCATTGACTCGAGTCTTCTGATGAAGAGTCATCGGACCCGAAAAGTTAATTTGGCTTTCCTGCCGCAGAAACTGCCAGACCTGCTGAGCTTTGCCAGCAAATTCTGATTTGTTGCAGATCTCCAGAGTTCTCAGTTCTTTGCTTTATTCTAGGAATGTACGGTTGAAGAGGATACAGATTATCATCGTACTCCCCACAAAACAATGTGATAGATGTTATAATTGCCTCTAAGTCACTTCTTACAGTGTCCACATTCTCTTCCCCTTGTTTTTTACTGTAGTTCCATTGGTGATTCCTACAACACAATATTTTACATCACAGTAAAGAAGCAGCTCTGTTGATGGGACAAAATCTGAATAATAGGATTTCAGAATTGGAAAAGACAGAAAATACTGGAAATACCCAGCAAGTGAGACTGGATGTGTTAGCCCTTGTCAGCCGTCACTCCAGATCTGAAATATAGATTTCCAGTCACTGATCTGGAGACATTTCCTGCACATGTGGCCATCGTGGACTCTGGAAATATCCTTGACTTCCCACAATTCCAGAAGGAGCATTCCAACAGGTCAAGCTGCCTTGCCATTAGTTATTCATAAATTACTCTCTAGCCTCCTCTAGTTTAAAAAATATTAAACATATACCAGAGTATTTACCTTATTCCTTATATGTTAAATACTCCAAACCCAACCTCAAGATCACTGTTTACTTTAAAGACCGGACAGTAGAATTATTCATTCCACTTTTCCATTTTTGAACTAAAACAAGAAGTGCTGGAGATAACAGCAGGTCAGGCAGCTTCCATGGAGAGAGAGCAAGCTAACGTTTCAAGTCTAGATGACCCTTCATCAGAGCTGATGTCAAGTGTGGAGGTGACAGTATTTATGCAATGGTGGGTGTTGGGGGTGGTGTTGGAGTGCTCGGGGAGAAAGGGTATTGATAGTTCAGATTAAGTAATCAGAATGCAAGAATGGCAGAACAATTTTCATAGTTAATATCCGTGCATTTTTTTATTCATTGGATGTGGCTGATACACTCTAGACTAACATTTACTGTCCATCCCTAATCTAACTGCCAGACTGGATAGAGCAGACAGTTCAACTGGAGTGGGGTGGGGGACGGAGGACATATTGACAGAAAATGTATTAAGCAAAGCTAAAAGAAAGGGAAGGAATGGATTCACAACCTGAAGCTGCTGAACTCAATATTAAGTCCAGAAGGTTGTAAAATGCCTCGTCTGAAGATGAGATGTTGATCTTACAGTTTTCACTGTGATTTGCTGGAGCATTGCAGCATGCCAAGGACAGACAAGTGGGCACGTGAGCAGGACGCTGTGTTAAAATGGTTGGGTCATGCTTACGCATGGACTGGAGGTAGTCTGCAAAGCAATCACCCAGTCTGCCTGAAGTTTCTCCAAGAAAGAGTAGGTCACATTGGGTGCAGTGAATACAATATACAAGATTGGAAGAGGTCCAGGTGAAATGCTGCTTCACCTGTGACACCAAATTTTACAAATGCTGACTCAATTTTCTTGGGGCTGTGGGCTGTGCTAGGTTAGGAGTTGGGCCAGCTGACCCAGAAAGAGACTAAGAAGTTGCCTGGTTCCCAAGGCAAGCTGGGGATTCTAACACTGTAAGGAAACTTTAAAACCAAAAATTTAAACTGGGAACATCCCTCATGCTGTCACCCACTAATTTTCTATCATGCCAAGCTATGCAGGTTGACAGTTACAGCCATCCCAATGGCCCCTCTCACTCCATAGAAACAAAGAAACAAAGCAAATAGGAGGAGGGGAGGCCATTCAGCCCTTCAAACCTGCCCTACCAATCAATATGATCACCCCTGATCATCCAAATCAGCACCCTGCTCCCATTTTCTCCCTTTGGCCCTGAGAACTATAGTTACCTTCTTCTTTAAAATATTCAACGCTTTGGCTTCAACCACTTTCTGAGATGGAGAATGTCACAGGCTCACCTCTCTCCGGGTGATGTCATTTCACCTCATCTTAGTCCTGAATAGCCTACCCCGTATCCTTAAACTGTGACCCCTAGTTCTAGATTCCTTGGTCATCGGGAACATTCTTCCCGCATTTACCCTGTCCAATCCTTTTACAATTTTCTAGGTTTCAACAAGATCCTCCCTCATTCTTCCCAACTCCACTGAATATGATTCTAACCGATCCAAACTCTCTTCCTATATCCTGCCATCCCAGGCATCAGTTAAGTAAACCTTCACTGCATTCCTTTCATAGCCAGAATTCTTTTTCTCGCATCAGGAGACCAAAACTGTACATAATACCTCTATTACTGTATTCTCATATATCCACCAGGTGGCTGCTCATACTCTATATGCCTCAATTATCCCAAATGACCTTTAAACCTTACATTAACTCAGTGCCATGCCAACTCAAATTATACCCAGGATAGGTATTAATCAGGAGGCATCATGACCAAAAATAAAGTTACAAGTCTAAAGTTACAAAGCTATGTCACTATTGTGAAATAAAACATACTTATTGACAGAAAATAAACATCCAATTCAGTGTAATTGCAAAAACACATCACTTACATAAACAAACATTCCACTTGGTTAATACCTTATTTTCATCAATTCATGTATTTAAAACCTTAGGTCAACAAATATTTCCATTTGATAAGCAGATGTAAGCAGATAAGGTATCAGTAAGTACATTTATCTGTACATCAATGCACACTTAGAAAATTCAAGTTTTCCTAGTTAATATCAGTGCATTTTTTTATTCATTGGATGTGGCTGATACAGTCTTGACTAACATTTACTGTCCATCCTTAATTGTCCAGAAGGATGTTAAGAGTCAAATGCATTGCTGAGAGTCTGGAGTCACATGTAGGCTGCCCAGGTAAGGAAAGGAAATCTGTCATCCTACTTGTGACTCCAGACTCACAGCAATGCACTCAACTCTTAGCATCCCGCTGAACAATTAGGGATGGACAATACATGCTGGCCTAGCCAGCACTGCCCAGTCCAATGAATGAAAAACAATTCCCACTGACATTAAGTATGAAAATTTGAATTTTCTAAATATTCATTGCTACCAATTTTTTTTTATGTAAAGAAACTACTTCCTTCTTATAAGAATTAAGTTTGGCCAATAAAACCGTTACTACCTTGCAATCTCTGCTTCTCTTACTAATCGATGGACCAGAAATCCTTGCTACATGTCCAGGTAGTGGTGAGAATGGGTTTTCAATATAAATATAATGACCAGTTGGATTTCTTAGAGTGTGATCAGTTGTTGGACAGGTACCTAACGTTGGTGTACTTCCCACTTTGAGAATCCAGTCAAAGTTATCATTTCTCCACTGTCTCCAGGAGCAAAGATCAAATTCAAAATCACAACGCCCCAAAATTGTACCTGTGAATGAAAAAAGTCTCATTCAATTTTTAAAATCATTTCCCTGTTTTTATCTGAATATGGAGATGTTAATACAATGTCATTTTTAATATTTTGTTCCTGATTCAAACAATGGAGGTTCTGTGACACAGTGGTAGCATTCCTAACTCTGAGGCAGAACCTCCAGGTTCAAGTCACACTTTAATCTCCTGAGGTAAACTTCTGCATAAGCGATCCCTGATCCTCAAAGTTAATCAAAGAAATCCCAAACTCTCATCCATCCTCACATCTCTTTTGTTTCATCCAACCCTGCTGTTCTGTAGTCATACTTCCTCTGACTGTAGGAGCACAGGTCAGAGATAAATGCTTACAGACTAAAAGTTTGAAAGTCAAAATTCGGATGTGAGTACCAGAATTTACCCACTAGGAACATCCATCACGGACCTCCCCAGATATTCTGAACAAGGACGGTTACATTGTTAAAATTTCATGTCAGGTTGGGCACCACCTGAAATAGAGCAGTGGGAAAAAGGTAGTGGGAGTAGGCTTCCACTCTCTTGATGTCACCACGAGCCCAGAAAAAATGAAAGGTCATTTTGAAAGATATTTGACCCCTATTATGATGTCAGAGGGACTGTAAGAAGTTGCCCGAAATATTCAGATCTTGACTGCCCAAGTCCCATGTCAGCTATGTGTTACTATTCAAGAGACTAGTAAATATTTTCTCACCTAGAATATCAGACTGGATCAACTGATACTCACTTCCGTCTTGCCTACATGTTCCAACCTTGTCTGGGATTGGAGAAGGTTCTACTTACGCTGGACCCCACAGACACTGGCAGCAAAGATGAAAACCCATTGTATTTGGATCCTGGCTTGGTTTCAGGGCATTTTTACATACTCCTATCTGAAATTATGCATCAAACTTTGCCATCTTCTGTACTACTGAGAAACAGTTCTGTTATATAAGAGTGTATGGTTATGAAAAATTTAATGCTGAGAAGTGCTTTAAGCACCATTCATAATCACAATATGGGGCTTGGTGGAAGATCAATTTAGGATCTTGAAGGAATAAGACCAACTATTTGAGGTAGCTCATCATCTCTGTCAATCACGTAACTTGTAATTTATTGCATGATTGCAAATAGATACACCTCAAGATGAGAGTCTCTTCTCATTAGACTAACAAGTCATTTTCCTCTACCGCACTTAACCAAGTCAGACACGTAGGTCCATGCCCTGAAAGAGGATAGTGACAGCAAATCTACATTAAAGAGTTCAATGGCACAATGAGCTCATCTCACTTGATGAGCAATGGTAAGGATTGTGTACATAGTTCATGGTACTCCACACCTCTTCACTCTTCCTTTTCCAATGGTTCACACCATTCGTTGAAATAATATTGAGGGATCTAGCCTTAAAACATATTGTTGAGATTTTGACTCACTCAAACTCACTTGCACAGAGTTAAAATCCAGCCTGGTAACACTGGTGATGTCAGAAGTCGATGTTCACAGTAGGCTCATCCTAGCATCTACTACAGACTTTTTGTCTGTACTTTTCAGTTCATTCTACACCAAACATATCAGGGCATACTGATGTCATGACAGGTGCTATATCAATGCCTTTGTAATTTATATGCATTTGCTCACTAATTACGGTAATAATGAAATTAGAGGAAATGCTGCCAATGAAATTATTTTGCAGTATGAAACAGCTACTTTATTTTGTTTTCAATAGGATCTTCTAAGAATCCCCCCTTCAAAACATTGGTCTGATATGCTTTGATCCAGTCAGAGTGATAGAGAAGAAAAACATTGATGTAAGAATTGAACCACATTTACACATCCAATTTGTCTATTAATCATGTTTCTCAAAAACTAATGGAAAAAAGTTCAGCAGAACAGGGTACACAGACAGGCCCAATGTAAAACTGATTAGTTTTTGGCAAAGATGTAAATTTGGATCTGGGCCCAAATCATGGATGTTTTAAATGATCTATTAATGTTGGGAGAGAGAGCAAATAAACTGTTTCTTTTAGAATGTCATGGGCCAGTTTATTTGGAATATTGTTGATTGTTTCAGTTGCTGAGGTGGAATTAGTCACAGTTGTCAAAATGCAAGCAGAGTTTTCAAAGCAGGTTGTTGCATGTTGATTTTCCTGAATTTGCCTTAGTGAGATGGAAACACTTAAAGAATTCTGTTTTTCATCCATGTATTTACAGAACACCAACTAGTCAGGCAAAAATCCTCAAGGAGGAGTTATGTATTTATAACTCAATATGTTAACTCAATGTGGTGAATGTCGTCACTCTATTCAATATCTTCTTCGCTATTTAACTTATGAATTTAAAGATATTAAACTAAGGCTCTATCTATCTTCTCAGGCGAATATAAAGATCCCATGGTACTATTTCAAAGAATAATAGGGGAGATATCCCTGATGACCAGGCCAATATTCACAGTTTAAAAAACATTACAAAAAAGGTTATCTGATCGTGATCACATTGCAATTTGTGGGAGCCTGCTATGGGTGTCATTTTCATATTTTGCAAAAGTGACTAAATTTTAACAGTCCTTCATTAGCTGTACAGCACTTTGAAACACCTGCTGCTTGTGAAAAGTGTTACATAAATACAAGTCTTCCTCTTCTTACTTTCTAATTATGAAGTTTAAAGTTAGTTTTTGTTTCATAACGATTCAAAATAAACAAGATTCATTGTTAAATTAAGAGACCCAATCAATGTTATACCTTAACAGAATTCACCAACCTTGTCACTCATAATTGGCTTTTCAGATATAAATATTTGTATCTCAAAAATGAGGATTATTTTCAGCGGCAGCAGCGCGAGCCAGAGTGCTGACGGGAAGGTAAGGCAGTTTTTGTATTCTCCCTGTATAAAAAACTTACCTCGTGCAGCAAGCGGCCCTCTTGTTTTCAGCGGTGGGTGTGTGGAGGGAACGCGAGCCAGGAAGAAACAGATAAATTCGGACATTGGCTAAACCCGAAACACTACACGTGTTGTGTCTCCCACCCGTCCTCCTCCTCTCACCAAAAAAGACTGTGTGGAGCTTCGGTCAGGTAAGGCTTTTTTTTTTATTCTTCTTCTGGAAATCTCGAGTAGAGGGAATGGAAGCTAGGGCAGTTGCATGCTCCTCTTGCAGGATGTGGGAGGTAAGGGTCACTGCTGGTGTCCCCTCTGACTTCACCTGCGAGAAGTGCACCCAACTCCAGCTCCTCAAAAACCGTGTTAGGGAACTGGAGCTGAAGCTGGATGAACTCCGGATCATTCGGGAGGCAGAGGGGGTGATAGAGAGGAGTACAGGGAGGTGGTCACACCCAAGGTACAGGAAAAAGGTAGCTGGGTGACTGTCAGGAAGGGGAAAGGGAATAGGCAGACAGTGCAGGGATCCCTGTGGCCGTTCCCCTCAATTATAAGTATACCGTTTTGGATACTGTGGGGGGGACGACCTACCAGGGGAAGGCCATAGCGAACAGGTCTCTGGCACTGAGCCTGGCCCTGTGGCACAGAAGGGAAGGGGGGAGAATAGGAGAGCAAATGTAGTGGGGGATTCAATAGTAAGATGCACAGACAGGCGGTTCTGTGGACGTGAACGAGATGAACGGATGGTATGTTGCCTCCCGGGTGCCAGGGTCCGTGATGTCTCGGATCGTGTCTTCAAGATCCTTAAGGGGGAGGGTGAGCAAACAGCAGTCATGGTACACATCAGTACCAATGACATTGGTAGAAAAAGGACTGAGAATGTGAAAAACGACTACAGGGAGTTAGGTTGGAAGCTGAAGTCCAAGACATAAAGGCTAGTTATCTCTGGATTACTACCAGTGCCACAAGATAACGAGGTAAGAAGTAGGGAGAGAGTGCAGCTAAACACGTGGCTACAGGGCTGGTGTAGGAGGGAGGGCTTCCATTATGTGGATAATTGGAGCACATTCTGGGTAAGGTGGGACCTGTACAGTAAGGACTGGTTGCACCTGAACCAGAAGGGCACAAATATCCTGGGAGGGAGGTTTGCTAGAGCTGCACGGGATGGTTTAAACTAGTTTGGCTGGGGGTGGGGAACCGGATTTATAATTCAGAGGATGAGGTATTTGGCCTTCCAACAGAGACAACAGGGAGTGAGGTGGTTTATAAAGAAATGCGGTCGATGGAGCGTAATTGCGGACACCGAGATGGTTTGAGGTGTGTATACTTCAATGCAAGAAGTATCAGAAATAAAGCGGATGAACTTAGAACATGGGTCAGTACTTGGAACTACGATGTTGTGGCCATTACAGAAACTTGGGGAACTCAGGGAGAGGAATGGATGTTGGAAGTTCCAGGATTTAGATGCTTTAAAAGAAATAGGGAGGGTGGAAAAAGAGGTGGGGGAGTGGCATTGCTAGTCAGGGTGAGTATAGCAGCTACTGAAAGGCAGTTCGAGAATGATATGTCCACAGAGTCAGTTTGGGTTGAGGTCAGGAACAAGAAAGGAGCAGTCACTTTGTTGGGGGTTTTTTACAGACCCCCTAATAGTTGCAGAGAAGTGGAGGAGCGGATTGGGAGGCAGATACTGGAAAGGTGCAGAAGTCACAGGGTTGTAGTCATGGGTGACTTCAACTTTCCAAATATTGATTGGAAACATTTTAGTTGTAATAGTTTAGATGGAGCAGATTTTGTCCAGTGCGTTCAGGAAGGATTCCTGACACAGTATGTAGATAGACCAACACGAGGAGAGGCCACTTTGGATTTGGTGCTTGGCAACGAACCGGGCCAAGTGTTAGGCCTGTTGGTAGGAGAGTATTTTGGCGATAGTGATCATAACTCTGTTTCTTTCACGATAGTCATGGATAAGGATAGGTACATATGGCAGGGTAAAGTTTATAATTGGGGGAAGGGTAATTACAATTCAGTTAGGCAAGAACTGGGTAACATAAATTGGGAACAGATGCTGTCAAGGAAGAGCACCACAGAAATGTGGAGATTGTTTAAGGAATGCATACTGCATGTGCTTGATATGTTTGTCCCTAGCAGGTAGAGAAGATGCGGTCGAGTGAGGGAGCCATGGTTCTCGAGAGAGGTCTGGTTAAGAGGAAGAAGGAGGCTTATGTAAGGTTTAGGAAAAGAGGAACGGAAAAGGCTCTAGAGGGATACAAGTTAGCCAGGAAGGAGCTGAAGAAAGGGCTTAGGAGAGTTACAAGGGGGCATGAGGAAACCTTGCGGATAGGATCAAGGAAACCTCCAAGGCTTTTTACATGTATGTGCAGAACAAGAGAATGACCAGAGAAAGGGTAGGGCCGATCAAGGATTGTAAAGGGAATTTGTGCACAGAGCCTAAAGAGATAGGAGAAGTCCTTAATGAATACTTTTCTTCAGTATTCACAACTGAGAGGGACCTAGTTGTCGAGGAGGACATTGTGAAACAGATAGGTAGGCTAGAGGAGGTTGATGTTAATAAAGAAGATGTGCTAGGAATTTTGAGGAAGTTGAAGATAGATAAGTCCCCCGGGCCTGATGGGATTTATCCAAGGATTCTATGGGAAGCGAGGGACGAGAGCGCAGGGCCTTTGGCGATGATCTTTTCATCCTGACTGTCCACGGGTACAGTGCCGGAAGATTGGAAAGAGGCAAACGTCATTCCCTTGTTCAAAAAAGGGAACAGGGATAACCTCGGAAATTACAGACCAGTTAGTCTTACATCAGTGGTGGGCAAATTATTGGAAAGGGCTCTGAGAGACAGGATTTATGATCACTTGGAAAGGCACAGTTTGATTCGTGATAGTCAGCATGGATTTGTGAGGGGTAGATCATGCCTCACAAACCTTATTGAATTCTTTGAAGAGGTGACCAAACACGTGGATGAAGGTGGAGCAGTGGATGTGGTATACATGGATTTAAGTAAGGCGTTTGATATGGTTCCCCATGGTAGGCTCATGCAGAAGGTAAGGAGGCATGGGATAGGGGGAAATGTGGTAGATTGGATTCAGAATTGGCTGACCCTTAGACGACAAAGGGTGGTAGTGGATGCAAAATATTCAACATGGTGCTCAGTTACGAGTGGTGTACCACAAGAATCTGTTCTGGGTCCTCTTCTATTTGTGATTTTTGTAAATGATTTGCGTGAAGGAGTGGAAGGGTGGATTAGCAAGTTCGCAGATGATGTGAAGGTGGGTCACGTTGTGGACAGTGCGGAGGGCTGTTCTAGGTTACAAAGGGACATTGATAGAATGCAGAGCTGGGCTGAGAAGTGGCAGATGGAGTTTAACCCTGAAAAGTGTGAAGTGATTCATTTTGGAAGGACAAACTTGAAAGCAGAATACAGAGTTAACGGAAAGATTCTTGGCAGTGTGGAGGAGCAGAGGGATCTTGGGGTTCATGTTCACAGTTCCCTGAAAGCTGCCACCCAGGTGAATAGAGTTGTTAAGAAGGCATATGGTGTGTTAGCTTTCATTAATAGAGGGATTGAGTTCAAGAGCCGTGAAGTTATGCTCCAGCTATACAAAAGCCTGGTTCGGCCACATCTGAAGTATTGTGTCCAGTTCTGGTCACCTCATTACAGGAAAGACGTGGAAGCATTGGAAAAGGTGCAGAGGAGATTTACCGTGATGTTGCCTGGAATGGAGGGAAGGTCTTACAAGGAAAGGTTGAGAGACCTAGGGCTTTTCTCTTTAGAACGATGAAGGATGAGAGGTGACTTGATAGATGTGTACAAAATGATCAGAGGTATAGATACAGTAGACAGCCAGAGACTTTTTCCTAGGGTGGAGGTAGTTTTTACGAGGGGACATAGTTTTAAAGTGAAAGGAGGTAGATATTGGGGAGACGTCAGAGGTAAGTTCTTTACTCAGAGAGTGGTAGGGGCGTGGAATGCATTGCCGGAGAGGGTAGTGGAGTTGGCCTCATTAGGGGCATTTAAGCAGCTATTAGATAGGCATATGGATGATAGTATAAGGTAGTGGTGGAGGTCAGATAGACCTTAGGTTTCGGGTAAAAGTTCGGCACAACGTCGTGGGCCGAAGGGCCTGTACTGTGCCGTACTGTTCTATGTTCTATGAAATGAGACATCCATGCCACCATCCACATGGTGCTCAAATAAAAACAGGTGTGTTTAATGCACTTCCTATATCTCCGTTTAAGATTCCTATGCCATCAAGCAGGTCAGTCAAGGTAAATTCAAACATAAATCTCAACTAAACTAACCTAGCTTCAACACATTCCTCGGACTTACACCTGCCTCAGACTCAGCTTTGTATAGAATAGTTGAATTTCCAATCTGTGAGTAATCAAAGAGCAAAGCTAGCTAAAATAATTTGGACCTGTATTAGTTTGCTGCTGCATTTGATATAAACACCAACGTTAGTAATCATTTCTATTGGGCTCTGCACAAAATAAACTTTAGTGGATTGAACGGAAGTGATCAGAATATAAATCAAGGTTGGCTTAGTTAAATACACAGGAGTTAGTTGAAAGAAGAACAAAATAATCATTTATATAAACATAGAAATATTTAAAATAGGAGCAGGAGTAGACCTTTTCACTCTTTGATTCTGCTCCGCCATTCAATATGATCATGGCTGGTCATCTAACACAGTACTCCATTTTCACTTTATCCCTGTGATCCCTACAGCCGTAAGAACTATGTACAGCTAAAGGTATAAGCAGTGGGTAAACACATGTATAGTGATCACTATTTAATTGACATCAGGCCAATATTGTGAACAGAGTCATGTCATTTGATAGAGATTATTTTTGTTCTATTCACAAGACATAAAACAAAACAAGAAATCCTCCCTGTAGCACAGTTACCAAAGGAATAACATCTGGAGATCCAGTAAATTTATCTTTTTACAACTGACTGAAGTTTAAATCTGTTTGGTTCACCCAAGCTTGTTGATTACTCACTGCAGATGACTGGATGTTCATCAGAATCATCAGCACAGTCATTGTTGAAGTCACAGAGCTGCCTTTTAGGGATACAATACTTGTTGGCACATGAATATTCATCAGAGCTGCACTGTCTTTCTGGGATCAGAAGAGAAGAACAATTTTCAAAGGAAATGTCATCCACTGTAATGTCGCCCATGTAGCTCACACCTCGAATGGCTCTTAAGAAAACCTGTAAAGATTTAACAATGAGTCAGTCATTATTTTGATTCATTGCTTATTCATAATGACAGTTGAAGTGTCTATATATCAAATTTGTTGTGTTTATTTCAATATGCAGAGTCCACCTTTGACTTTTGGCAACAGTACTGGTACTTTTTTTTTGTTCCTACTATTTTGTCTCTTTCTCATCTTCAGCAAGTGCTGGTAACATTTGGGGTTCATTGAGAATTTGGGTGCTTAGAAAATTAGTGAAACCTGTTTAAAAGAGCAGTGTATGAGTATTTGGGGATATTTGAGGGTGGTTTTAAAAAAAACAGGCAGAGGGAAGAGGAGGATACAGGAGAGGTAGCTAAGTCAACTTGATAAGAGATAAGTCATGAGCTCTTTGCACTTTCTCATAGAGGTAATGCTTGTAAGGATCAGAAGGTTAAGGAGTATGTGACAGCAGATAAGTCTAGGATTGGTTTGCTTGAGGTTGATGGTTTTGACCAGGGAGAATTGGGCCTGGTAAGCTTCGTGTGGATCAGTCAGATTTGTCTGAACCTTCAGACAACATTTTAAGTGTGCCTATGCTAGATTTGAGGGAGTTAGGACAGTGACTGTCACAAACACCGAGGTACTGAGAGAATAGGAAAGTCTGCCAGGAAATGGATTTCAAAAGTGGACGTCAGAGAGGTGTTGAGAAAGTAAACTATTGTGCTCCACTAGCTATAGGGTGCCCAGTAAGAGGCACATCACAACTTCCATGCCACCAGGGCTAAACCTCCTGGGCCTGCCAACCTGCTATTTGGGGTAGGCCCAGCCACTGGAAAAGTACAGCAGCGGGAGGCCGTTAAGTCGTGAATTGGTAAAATACCAATGGAAGTGGGTTGGTGATGAGGAACTATATCTCCCTACCTGCCATTTGACTTTACATCCCTTTCCATGCCAGCTTGCTCCAGAATACTCCAAGGCCTTGTCATCATAGCTGATGACTTCAACCAGGCCAACCTCAGGAATATGCTACCAAAATACCGTCAACATGTCTCCTGTCCCAGCAGAGGTCCGGACATCTTGACCATTGCTATACAACCATCAAAAGATGCCTACTGCTCCATTCCTTGTCCGCATTTTGGAAAATCAGATTACCATGCTGTGCTGCTCCGCCTGACTTACAAGCAGAAATTGAAGCACGAGAACCCAGTACAGAAAGTAGTGCAATGTTAGTCTGAAGCAATGGAACGGCTTCTACAGGACTGCTTAGAGTCAGTAAACTAGTCCATATTCAAGAACTCAGCAGCCAGCCTCAATGAGTATACCACTACCATCACAGACTTAATTAATAAGTGTGGAGAAGACTGCGTGCCGAAGAAGTTAATTCAAATGTTTCCCAGCCGGAAGCCACGGATGAACTGGGAAGTCCACTCGCCACAGAATGCCAGATCTGAGGTGTACAAGTCGGGAAACCCTGGCCAGTACAGGAAATCCAGATACGACCTTTGTAATGTCATCAGAGATGCCAAGAGACAAAACCAAACTAAGATTGAGAGCCAGACCAATCATATGGACACTCATTGTTTGTGGCAAGGCTTACTCAAAATTGCAGGCTACAAAGTGAAATCGATCAGCATCGTGGACAACAGGACATCCCTACCCGATGAGCTTGATGCATTCGACACTCACTTGGAACAGAAGGTCAGTGAAATGATGTCACCTATCCCAACAGCATAGGATGCACCTGTACCCATGGTCACTGCCGCAGACGTTAGACTGGCCTTCATGAGAGTGAACCCACGGAAAGTAACTGGCCCGGATGGAGCGGCCGTGCACTCAGATCCTGTGCAGACTGGCTGTTGGGAGACATCTTTAACCTCCCCTTGCTACGATCTGAAGTCCCACCTACTTGAAGAAGAACACCATCATTCCAGTGCCAAAGAAAAATCATGCAGTGTGCCTCAATGACTATTGCCCAGTGGCTCCTGACCTCCGTAAATATGAAGTGCATTGAGAGGTTAGTCATGGCTCACATTGACTCTAGCCTACCAAATTGCATTGATCCCTTGCACAACAGGTCCACAGCAAACACCATCTCCTTGGTCCTACACTCATCCCCGAAATATCTGGATAACATGGATATCTATGTCAGGTTCCTACTTACCGACTACAGCCCCACTTCCAACATCATAATTCCAAAAAAAATTTATCTCTGAAGTCTAACTGAATCCTTGAATTCCTGACCCATCGACCACAGTCAGTAAAAATAGGTGACAACAACTCCTTCACCATAATCCTTAGCACCGACGTCCCACAAGGCTGTGTAGTCAATTCCCTACTATACTCCTTATACACTCACGACTGTCTGGCCAAATTTCACCCCAACTCCAGTTATAAGTTTGCTAATGATGCCAATGTTGTGGGTCAGATCCCAAACCACAACAAGACAGAATACAAGGAGATTGAGGGCCAAGCAGCATGGTGTAAACACAATCTCTCTATCAACGTCAGAGAAATGAAGGAGCTGGTCATTGACTTCAGGAAGCGGAGTGGAGAACAGGCCCCTGTCTGCATCACTGGTGCTGAGCTGGAGATGCTTGAGAGTGTCAAGTTTCAAATGGTCAAGAAAGCACAACAACGTCTCTACTTCCTCAGGAGACAAAGGAAATTCAGCATGTCCACAAAGACTCTTATCAGCTTGTATAGATGCACCACAGAAAGCATCCATCCGGAAGCTTCACAGCGTGGTATGGTTACTGCTCTCCCCAAGAATTCAAGAAACTACAGAGTCATGAATACAACCCAGTACATCACACACAGCAGCCTTCCATCCACTGGCTCCCTTTATACCTCCTTCTGCCTCAGGAAAGCAACCAACATAAAAAACAATCCTCCCACACCAGTTATACTCTCTTTCACCCTCTTCCATTGGGCAGAAGATATAAAAGTTTGAAAACATGTAAAAACTGATTCTAAACTGCTTCTACGCTGCTGTTATCAGATTTTTGAATGAATTTGTCAAATGTTAATTCTGATCTCTCTCTCTCTGCACCTTCTCTGTGGCTGTAACACTGTATTCTGCACTCTGTTCTGCTACCCTGATGCACTTTGTATGTTACGATCTGTCTGCATAGCACCCAAAACAACAGTTTTCACTGTATCTTGGCACATGTAACAACAATATGTCAAACTCAAACTAATGCCGCAGAAGTTATGCTGCAGCGATACAAACCCCTGGTTAGACGACACTTGGAGTACTGTGAGCAGATCTGGGTACCACACCTTAGGAAAGAATTTTGCCCTTAGAAAGAGTGCAATGTACGTTTACAAGAATGATACCTAAACTTCAAGGGTTAAATTGAATGGAGAGATTATACAAATTAAGAATTTAAAAGTTACGGGCTGATCTGATCAAAGACTTTAAGATAATAACAGGAAAAGGCAGGTTAGATAAGGATAAACTATTTTAACTGGTTGGAGATTCTAGAACGAGAGGACACAATCTAAAAATTAAGGCCAGATCATTCAGGAGAGAGCTTAGGAAGCACTTTACGCACAAAGGGTGGTAGATGTTTGGAACTCTTTCTACAAACAGCAGTGGTGATGAATTAGTTAGTAATTTTAAATTTCAGTCAGATACAATTTTGTTAAGCAAATATATTAAGGGGTATGAGCCAAAAGCGAGTATACGGAATTAGGTCACAGATTAACCACAGTCTCATTGAATGGCAGAACAGGCTCAAGGGGCTGAATGGCCTACTCCTGTTACTATGTTTCTATGGAAACATGAAGAGGTCATTCAGTTCCTGAAGCCTACTTCCTCCTGGACACTGCGGATGGTCAGCGATTTGTGAGCCTGGTCAGACCACATGTGGAAGCCCCTGCGCTGATCTCCTGCAGTATAACGTTTATCTGTAAACTGTTTATCTGGCTGCAATGTTTATCCTTTCAACTTAATGTCTTATTTTCAAACTTATACTATGAATCACTGTAAGATAATTTAACTTTTTTCTTATTTGTTTCTCTATTTTTGTATCTAAGATTTGTACTTAGGTACTTTGTACCTAAAATGGTGCCATGATGGGTGACAATGTAAATTTTTCACTGTACTCCTGTCCTTCTGTACTTGAGTGTACATGACAATAAACTTAATTCTGTTCTATTATATTCTCCTGCTTGTACTTCTTATGTTCTTATGACCCAAAACCCTAAACCTCTCTCTCTCTCCCTCCACAGTTGCTGCCAGATGAGTGAGTATTTCTTGAATTTTCTGTTATTATTTCTTAATTGTACTATTTAATTTCAGTTCTGTGAAACTGGTTAACATGATCTTTTTGAGCAGGTTGCAATTTTGAATATTTTAAAAGCCGTCATTTTCATCAGTGTCATCCTCTTCAATAGGTCCTTCAAGACACATCTGTATTTCCAATTTGGCAAACAAACTGAAAACTAAATAAATATTTTATGATTTCCTGGAGGTTTAAACTTTCGTTGTTAAGTAAAACAATATTGCTGATAAATTAATGTGCTTCGCACATGTGAATTCGAATGGGACTTCTAGAAATAGAACAAATGAAAATATTTCTGCCCAGTCGTACAGTAATAAAATAGCTACAACACCTACAGTGTGCATGCTGGCTCCCTGTGAGAACAGATCAATTCATCTCACTCTAGCACCTCTTTCCCAGAACTCTGAAAAACATTACTCTTCAAATAAAAATCCAATTCCCTTTTGAAAGCCACAATTGAATCTGCGTCCACCACGTTCTCACACTGTGAATTCCTCATCCCGGCCACGCACTGAAAAATAAAACCAGCTTCTTGCCACCTCTGATTCTCTTTCTCTTTGCTAATTGTTCCTTCTACTCATGGATATGTCATGATTTTGAGTACATCTATCAAATCTTCTTTTGGAGCGGCACAACTACAGCTTCTCCAATTAGTCTATGTAACTTCTTTATTGCCTGAACTCATCTCATAATTTTTTTTTCGGAACTCTCTCTAAGGCTTTCACACCTTTCCTAAAGTCATACTGTCTGAGACGAAGGCCCTTAGGCCCATTCAGGCTGGTCAAACGCAAGAATCTAACCATTCAAATCCCGTTTTTTCCCCTGAAATAACTGTACAGAGGCCAGTATCCTGTCACCAAGTCACCCTTTGTTTACACAGGTTTTTTTTTTATTCATTCATGGGATAAGGGCGTTGCTGACTAGGCAGCATTTATTGCCCACCCCTAATTGCCCAAAGGGCAGTTAAGAATCAACCACATTGCTGTGGGTCTGGAGTCACATGTTGGCCAGACCAGATAAGGATAGCAGTTTCCTTCCCTAAAGGACATTAGTGAACCAGATGGGTCTTTCCAACAATCGACAATGGATTCATGATCATCATTGGATTCTTAATTCCAGATATTTATTAGATTCAAATTCCACTATCAGCCATGTCAGGATTCGAACCCAGGTCCCCAGAACACCCCTTATGTGCACAGTACACTGGCTGTGACCAGCCAGCTCAGAGTCAGAGTCAGTCACTGAACAGAGGAGATTCTGAATTTCTTGTTTTTATTGGAAAGCCAGGGCTTCTTCCTGATTGGCCCAGGTTAACAATCCAAATCAAGGATCTCATAGTCAACAAGATCAACCTAGTTTCAATCCCTATACACTCAAAAACCGAAAGAACCGCAGATGCTGGAAACTTGAAACGAAAACAGAAATTGCAGGAAAATCTCAGCAGGTCTGGCAGCATCTGTGGAGAGAAATCAGAATTAATACTTCTGACCCTTCTTCAAAACTGATGCTAGCGAGGGAAATTATGGTTTTTTTTGCAGAAGATCACGTTGGGTAGGGATGACAGTATCTGATAGGTGGAGATCGAGCCCAAAGAGAGAGAAGTTAGGCAGACAAAGGACTATTTAATGGTTAGGTTGGGGGAATGAATAGATGCTAATGGGAACAATTAGTGGCTGGCAATGGGTAGTGTGTGATAGCAGCCCGTATAATGACAAGGCCTGGTGTGTGGGGGGCGGTGAGGGAAAGCATTGGGAAAGGTACTCAGGCCCTAAAGTTGTTGAACTCAATATTAATTCCAGAAAGTTGCAGGGTTCCCAAGCAGAAAATGAGGTCCTGTCCTTCCAGCTTGTGCTGAGTTTCACTGCAGCAATGCAGCAACCCTGAGACCGAGATGTTGGCCAGGGAACACATATTGTGTTGAAACAGGCAAATGGAAGGTTAAGGTCTTTTTTTGTGGACAGAACATTAGTGTTCTGTGAAGAGACCACCCAGTCTGCGTTTCATTTCCTCTATCAATGTGCAGGAGTCTACATTTTGAGCAGCAAGCACATCACCGTGTTCTCTGCTATCGTCACCTGGTCTGGCCTACGTGTGACTCCAGACCCACAGCAATATGGTTGATGCTCAACTGCCCTCTGAAATTACTGAGCGTGTCACTCAGTTGTATCAGTCGCTATGAAGTCTCAACAAAGATATGAAATTGGACAGATCACCTGGCATCAACCTAGGCACCAGAAAAGACAACAACAGAAACAGTCCTGTCGACCCTGCAAATTCCTACTTACAAACATATGCGGGTGACTGTGAAAACTGACAGGGTTATCAAGGATATCTCTGCAGGAGCTCCTCAGGGTACTTTCCTAGGTCCAATCTTCTTCAGCTGCTTCATCAATGACCTTTCCTCCATGATAAGGTCAGAAGTGGGGATGTTCGCCGATGATTGCACAATGTTCAGCACCATTGGCGATGCCTCAGGTATTGAAGCAGTCCATGTTAAAATGCAACAAGATCTGGACAATATCAGGCTTGGGCTGACAAGTGGCAAGTTACATTTGTGCCACACAAATGCCAGGCTATAACTATCATCAAGAAGAGATAATCTAACCACCGCCCCCTTGAGATTCAATCATGTTACCATCACTGATTATTCCGCAATCAATATCCTTGGAGTTACCACGGCCAGTAACTTAACTGGACTCACCACTTAAACACAGTGGCTATAAGAATAGGTCAGAGGCTAGAAATACTGTGGTTAGTAACTCACCTCCTGTTTCCCCAAAGCTTGTTCATCATTGACAAGGCACAAGTCAGGAGGGTGATGGAATACTCAGCACTTGTCTGGATGGGTGCAGCTCCAACAAAACTCAAGAATTTTCACAGCATTTAGGACAAAGCAACCCACTTCATTGGCACCACATCCACAAACATCCGCTCCCTCTGCCATTGACATTCAGTAGCAGCAGTGTCTAGTGACTACAAGGAGCACTACAGAAATTCACAAAAGATCCTTAGACAGCACCTTCCAAACCCGTAACCACATGTATCTATAAGGACAAGGGCAATAGATGCATTGGAATACCACTGACTGCATGTTCCCCGTCAAGCCATCCAACATCCTGACTTGGAAATAAATCGCCGTTCCTTCACTGTCAAAATCCTGGAATTCCCTCTCTAACAGCATTGTGGGTCAACCTACAGCACATGGACTGCAATGGCTCAGGAAAACAGTTCACCGCCACCTTCTCAAGGGCAACTAAGGATGGGCAGTAAATGCTGGCCAGCCAGTGCCGCCCACATCCCACGAATAACTCTAAAAAAAGGACCCGAGATGTATTTCATCCAGCCCTCAAGACATGTGTACCATTAAGCCCTCCAGACCACTTTGAACTTCCAGAACTGTGGGACCCAGCATTATTCACAATACTGTAACTGTGACTGAACCAGTATTTTATCCAGCTTTCTGTATGTTCATTGCTGTTGTACTTTAAGCCTCTATATATAAGACCTAGGATCCCATTGGCCTATTTACCTAATTTCTCAACTTGACCCACTACCTTCCACAACTTGTGCCCACGTACTGTCAGGTCCCTACAGTTTCTTTAGGATTTTTTCCTTTGAAGTGTCATAGAGTCATACAGCACGGAAACAGACCCTTCAGTCCAACCAGTTCATGCCAAATATAATCCCAAACTAACTAGTCCTAACTGCCTGCTCCCGGTCCATTGCCCTCCAAACCTTTCCTATTCATGTACTTATCTAAATGTCGTTTAAATGTTGTAATTGTGCCCACATCCACCATTTCCTCAGGAAGTTCATTCCATACACAAACCACCCTCTGTGTAAAAAATTTACCCTGATATCTTTTTTAAAATCTTTCTCTTCTCATCTTAAAAATGTGCCCCCTACTCTTGAAATCCCTCATCCTACAGAAAAGACAACTACCATTAACTCTATCTATATACTCCCCACTACTTTATGAGCTTCCATAAGATCGCCTCTAAATCTCCTAAGCTCCAGTGATAGAAGTGCCAGCCTATCCAACCTTTCTTTATAACTCAAAACTTCTATACCCGGCAACATCCTGGTAAATATCTTCTAAACCCTCTCCAGATTAATAATATCCTTCCTAAAACTGGGCGACCAAATCTGAACACAGTATTCCAGAGGAGGCCTCAACAATGTCCTGTACAACTTCAACATGACTTCCCAACACAACAAGGTGCAGAGCTGGATGAACACAGCAGGCCAAGCAGCATCATAGGAGCAAAAAGGCTGACGTTTCGGGCCTACCATGGTATCATCTGACTATTGCCCTATAAGTTAGCTGACCTAACAGGTACCACATAAACCTGCTTCTTGATGAGTCAGAGATAGTAGGAACTGCCGATGCTGGAGAATCTGAGATAACAAGGTGTAGAGATAACAAGGTGTAGAGCTGGATGAACACAGCAGGCCAAGCAGCAGCAGAGGAGCAGGAAAGCTGATGTTTCGGGTCAGATGTCTTGACTTTTATTAATGACATTAACCATTTATACTTTGATATCACAAACATACACGTTGCCTTAGTTCTATGCTTACTGAAGTCACTGTGCATTAAATATGTAACTGATAGACTGAGATCCTATAGTGTCTCCATAGCACTGAGTGGGGATTGGCTGGAAGTGTGGACTATTGTCCTAGAGCCTCACGTTTTGTGCTGCCATGTAATGCTCTAAAAGGTGCAATGCCTGTCTGGTCAGAATTTATGCCATAACTACCAAAGTGTACCACTTCACACTTCTCTGCATTAAATTCTATCTGCCATGTGTCTACCCATTCCAGAAATCTGCCAATGACCTCTTGAAGTCTAATGCTATACTGTTCACATTTCATCAGACTTCCAGGCTTTGTGTCTGCACACTTTGAAATACCTAGGTATAAAATAACAATAAAAGAAGTGGTCCTTGTACCAATGCCCGAGGGACTCCCAAATATATCAACCTCTAGTCTTAAAAATAACTGTTCACTGCTACTCTCTGTTCTTAATTACCCAACCAATTCTGTGTCCATGCTGCTGTTATGCCTCACAGGGGTGGTGGGCTGGCCCATCAAGCCCCATTATTTCCACAGTCATCACAAAAGTTTTAGATTTTACGTAAGTAAGCAAAATTCCCTGATTCACATGTCTCTGTTAGCCCGTTAAACTGCTAAATTAAATGTAATTTTCCCTCAACAGATCTGTTCTGACTTTCCCCTAATGAACCCACATTGTTCAACAACTGTCAATTTTCCATCTTCAAGGTTCAACTGACTGGCCAGTAGTTGCTGTGTTATTCCTTGCGCTCTTTTCTGGAAATGTTGCAATTTTCTGTTTCTTGGTGTTAGGCCCTTTTTCTGCTTGTCAGCCGTTAGATTTTTTTTTTTAGGTGCTTGGTGCAGCCTCAAGATTTGAAGTCAGAATGTACACTACTTGCCATGAAACAAGCTCCAGCTACAGTCCCTGAACATGCCTGAGTAAACATTTGAACTGTCCCATTACCATTTACTATTCATCTATATGCCATCTTTCAGCTGTCACCAGCTGGCAAGCAATCCAACAAGCACGTCCATCTTTGAATTACGGTGAGTCCTTTTTCCGTACATCATTACTTTAAGTTACATTATTAAAAAGAGCAAACCATCACAGCAAACCTGAAAATGTCTCTGAACTCCAAGTAATACTTCTGCTCGCCTCCAATGGTTACCTTGGTTACCACTTTGCGACCATAGCAACTGTGTCGAATTAACAAACTTTTTGAAGACCTTAAGGGAAACAAAATTGCAGTGGTGTGACATGGTCTGATTTTAGAAAAATTATTGTGATCAATTCTTTTTTTTTGTTGGCATTTAAGTTATTTATAAATCAAGAAACTGAGACAGCTGATTCTTCAAAAATTGATCATATAAGCTACTAATATTAAGACTGCTGTTAGAAGACAGTGTTTTGATTTTTTGCTGATTTTTTTTAATGAAGTAAATCATAAGTGTTTTGCACTTTTGTATAATTATAAACAAGAAAAAGTCAAAGTGTAAATCTAATTCTGGATATTTGCATTTCTACTTTAGAACAGGTTTGTTATATAAAAAAAATTATTACTACAGAGAGAAAAATGTTACCTGTAATGACCCGATTGTAACTCCATTCATGTGATACCAAAAGCTCAGTTTACACTTTGGACCAGAAAGGCTTATTACTGGAGTGATGATATCAGCTGATTGACCAAATTCTCCATTTGAACTATCAGCGTAAAGATACCAACCCTGCTTCGTGGCCCTGCAAGTAAAAGTGAAATGTTTAAAGCTGGTTCATTCAATATTGCATTTCATAGTCAGGCATTTCATTGTACTTATTTTATGCTGCAAATGTATTTTCGTATAGCATATACATTAATCAATGTTTTCGATGATTTTTGCTACATTATAATTTAGTTTTCTTAATCTAATGCTACAATTCATAATTTCTGACCTTTAGCTGAATATTAGTATAGTTACACATTTAATTTTAGGGCCTAAACTCTCCCATGTCCCAGGCCCCTACCCCACCCACAAGGCCTTGTTACCACATAGCCTGCCACTACATACCCCCTGTTGTTAGTCACTAATAGTCTCCGTTAACAACTATTCACCCTCCCAGTCTGATCATTAGCAACTCCTTTGTCTGTCTAACTGTCTTTCTCTCTTTTTGGGCTCTATCCTATCGTTTACTCCCTATCCCACACACCTCCCTATTTTCTACATATAAACTGACGTCTTCCCAGCCACCATCAGTTCTGAGGAAGGGTCACCGGACCCGAAACGTTAACTCTGTTTTCTCCTCCACAGATGCTGCCAGACCTGCTGAGCTTTTCCAGCAACTTTGTTTTTGTTCCTGATTTACAGCATCCGCAGTTCTTTTGGTTTTTAAAATTATTTGGACATTGCCTTAATGTTGAGCCGGGGTCACATTTTAAGGATATGGAGTAGATCATTAGGACAAAAATAAGGAGAGACTTATTCACCCAGAGTGTGATGAGCCTGCAGATTTCTCTGCCATTGGAGACAGCTAAAGAAAAAACACTGAATTGTTTTCAAGAAGGAGTTAGATACAGATCTTGGGGGTAAAGGGATCAAAGGCTACGGAGTGAAATTGGAACAGGATACTGAGTAGGATGATCAACCATGATCATGCTGAATGACAGAGCAGGCACAAAGTGTTGAATAGCCTCCTCCTGTACCTATTTTCTATATTGATAATGTATTGTACCTCTTGCCAAATTGCTTTATTAAATGTTTGTGAGAAGTTTTGAAAAATGACTTGTTTTAGTCTTCCTAAAGGCTAATAATGAAATGCTTGTGCAGAGTTACTTAGCACAATGGATTTTATTGTGCGAGTTGATGGAGAATGATGAAAGTGTCTTGAAAGATATCAAGGAATATTCCACTGAGAAAGAATTTTCTGTATTTGTTCCTGAGTTTGCCTTCAGATGGAAGGAAAGGAAGCAAATTCTGCACTTCAAATTCCAATACCCAGTGTGAAGTCCTGTCCACATGCTCAAAGACCTGTAGGTCAAATATCAGCTTGTTCAATCACATGTAAACATATGACAGAAAACCTCAACCCTGCATAAAAATCATCTTGGAATTGAAGGAGCAGCCAACAACGATAGCTATTGTTAACACTTGCACAGAGCTTGATGGGCACAACAAGCCAACTAGCTGCCTTCTGAATCTGCTAACACAATATCATTAGTGTTTTTATCTGAATCTACACAAAGAGAAGCATCTGCTGAAGCTTTGTGACAATTTATGCATCAATAAAGTTCACTCTTCAGATGCTGGCTGAGGGCAATTTTAAACCCCTTCCAGAAAGAGAATAGGTGGAACGTCATGTGTCATTTATTTTTACAAGACATTACATTAAAATTGCCTCACTTATTATGGTATGCAAACGTTGTATGAGATACCATGATATTTGTGGTCCCCTTGACTAAATTAATAATAGCTTTCATTCCCTTTGTGCCTCTCGTGGAACTGAGGTGGGAGCTTTCTATGTTAAGTTTTGTTTTATTCTCTTGTGGGAAGTGGACATTACTGGCTGGCTAGCATTTGTTCGCATTTCTAGTTGCCCTTCAAAAGGTGGTGCTGAACTACCTCCTTGTGCCATGGCAGTCCATTTGCTATGGGTAGACCCACAATGCTATTCGGGAAGGAACTCCAGGTCTGTGACTTTTGACTATCAGACATTTACCAACTTGGACTTCAAAAACAGAAGTGATTGCAGCAGTAAGTTTTTAAAAATTAAAGCAACTGTTAATGGTAAATCTAGTCTGAAATGATCCTATTGATGTCTTATCTTTCTTTTGTTAATGTTATTACAAAGATGTGCCTGTACCAAATATTTAGTTGCAATTCCATGAGCTCACCTTATCTTGGACTTTTTAAAAAGGCATCTTTTAACCAAAATAATTTGTAATTTGGGATTTAGCAGAGATGCTGGAGAGAGTGGCTATCTCCAGCTGCACACCACTACCACATCGCCATTGCCACCCCAACCCGCAACCCACCAACCCACCAACCCCCATGGCCCCACCTTCTCTGGAACTTCTCTTAATATTTTGAGCTCTGTTTCTAACTTGAAGGACTAGCCAAAAGAAACTCCACACAGTGAACAGAGAATTTTGAAGGAAGCTTTGATTCAGCACCATTGTCTCCAAAAGAAAAGAGACTAAACCAGCCATTAATGTAGAAAGTGACTTCTTCATTTGAGATCCAAACATTGGGATGATGAATGATTTTTTGAGAAAATGACTTTTTTTAAATCAGCGTTTTTCCTTCTTTGATGTTAATATCTGACATTCTATAAATCTTTATTTCGTCTTTGTATGCTTGAGTGGTTTCTATGTTTGAATGTGTTCATTAGCATGGGAAGTATGAGGTATTTGTATATTTTTAAAATAATTCCTTACTTGCTAATGTCAAGAATATCTGACATGGAATTCTTAAAAACTGCAAAGTTAAATTCATACTGAACTGGCAATGCAACATCCTATTTTTAAATTCAATAACGTGTTACAGTCAAAAAAAGGGTGAGAAAAGAAATGAAAAAGTTACCTTTCCTCCCCTTGTTGCAACAGTGCACTCAGAACTATTTTGTTTCCATGGAGAACTGATAATTCCCACATTCCTCCAATGACTCCAATAAGCGCACCTGTGCATTCTGTTATTCCCAAACAAAAATAACCTGTACAAAATAAAACCTGTTCTACAAAATCTTCTCTAACCTTGGAATTCAACTGCTTGATTGGAATAGTGATCTGCATTGCAATGTGAATTGACTGCATTGTCTCCTCTTCCATCATCCTAAATTCCTTGCTTCTGAACGATGCAGAAACAAATTCACTTTTTGAGTTGAGTCTTTACATCTGAGCAGCGCCTTGGAGGAATCCATTATTAATGAAGCAAATCCTTCAGACACTTGGGCAACTGTGTACATGAAACTTCACCATTTTCCCCGGTGCAAACTCATCTCTCATAGCAGCACCTCTGGGAAGCTCACAGACATGTGCTCAGCCTAGCACCATAGATTTAAAAAGAACAAGGAGTCAACAGGGTCAGCTGTTCCCAATTCCCAGCCCTAAAAAGTGAATAATTTTATTTCCTTCCACTGCTGAGATGGAAACCTTGAAATTAATCCTTTGTCCTCGGCACAACTGGCAGTTGATTGTTGAGGCAAGAGGTATAAAAAGCAAAGTGTGCGAAACATTGGCCTCAACACAAACAGCAGCCTGTCTCTGTCAAAATGAGACATCCATGGAGAGGCTGGACTCTCACTAATGTATTGAAATCAGGCCCCCGCAGTGGGAACTGAATTTGAAATTAACTAATACTAGTAGCACAATTGAGCAACACTTTATTGGCATGGTTAATGGTCAGGAGGCCTAATTGGAATAAAAGAAGCACCAGCCCTCCTTTCGCTCAGGAAAGCTGAGTGCTACAATTGGGTCAGATCTCCTGACAGTTCGACACCTCTGGTGCTCTCTTCTCCAGTGGTAAACTGCAGGCCCCTCCACATCATACTCTTCCTGTTGATCCTCCTTCTTCTCTTTGCTTTCAGCAGTCCCACGCAAAACCAACCATGGCAGCACAACATGGGAATTTTCTTTGATGACAACTCAAGCTTCTCCAAATAACCCTGTCTCAGTGTCACAGAGGGAATGGCGACAGCAGATGTGAGTGCTGAAATTTTTGAAGTTTCAGATGGCCATGTGCATTGGACAAAGACACCCATAGTCTCTTAGAAGAAACCCTGGTGCTAACAGGACCTGGCTGCCATCCATTACCAGTGGCTGTGGAGTCACAACCAACCACAATTTCTTTGCCACCTGTTCTTTCAAAGCTGCTGCTGGAACTTGAGTGAAAGATTTGCAGCCATCAATATATAACAGCATAAGGGAGGTGATGGGTGGATTGCTTTTCAGTGACTGGGAGCTAGATAATCTTCTTCTGTGATGATAATAGCTTGAATAAGTGGGTTCTTAGATTCTTACTTTGAGCTGGCTTCCCAAAGGTGTAGACTGCACATTCATGGCAAATTGAGCACTCCCTGATCAACCAGGAACCTTTATCAATTGCATTTTCCTAATTCGTATGTGAACGTTAGTGAGTTGGCACAGCTCCAAATTTTCAACTTACCTCTTAAGTGATAAATTGCAAATGTTATTTTGCCATAAATAAACACTGGGATACAACATATAGTCAGATTTTCCCAAGGCAAGCAATATTGTGAAGAACCCAGGTTGTAAGTGCAATATTTCTCTCAGTATAGCCCTTTTAAAATGCTACTTATAGGCTGCTAAGTCAGCTCATCCCATCATACTGAGACTCAGAAAACAACAACAGATTTCTTCAATTAGAGAAATGCAGGAAGTATACAACCTGAAATTACTCTTCAATGTGCTGATCACGATAAGCTCATTTGCATTTATATTCATGAAGGATTTCTAGCAACCAGAATAGCTCCAGCAGACAAAAAGAGGCTACGAAGCAATTACCGAGAAAATAATTTCAAATTGAGAACATCTAGACTCGAGTCAAATAATTGGGAAATGGATTTTTGTAAATTTTCTAGTATCCTGATACCATCTGGGCCTTTGCCAAGCATTCTACTGCAGTAAACTCACTCCTTATCTTATAGGAACAGGCCATTAGATGATTTAGAAAATGGCTGTTTCTTCTTAACCAAGCTTTTTTTAAATTTATCAGATTGTTAGTCAAGGGATGTTGTCAGGGCTACGGTGACTGGAATTTCCAGCTCACATTCATATTATCTTCTAATACATCTTCACTCTAACCCATTCTTCCTCAAAATTGATCTCACTTAAGTCTTTCGTTTAACTTACAATCAGTACTTCTTACCTTTAAATCTGTCCTAGATTTCTTTCAGTAGTTTCTCCTGCCAAACTCACAATCTTCTGTTCCATTCTTGGTGTTCCATCCTGTCCCAATCCTTTTATTTATTTTATGCATGCTATCTGTCAAGACGTTATCCGGAAGCATTATTAAACTGCACCTATTAATCTTTCTCGCCACCATGGTTAGTTCAGATGTTATTGTTGTATTATCTAACTATCGGTCAGGTAATAAGATGAATTTAAAGTAATACCTGAAATGGGCTCAGAGAGGTTGCTCTGTCCCTCTCTTTGTGCTGATAAAATGTCTGAGCTATTTGAAGGGCAAGCCTTTGTTACAGGCCACTGACAAGCTATGGGTAGCAAACAGCTCTCCCACTGCCGCATATCTGTTCTAACAGCATGCAATGTTTTCTCTCTCATGCAGTGAATCAGCCAACGGATGAGATTAGAGTAAGGCAGGGAGAATCAATCCTTCAGTGGGCCTTGACTTGACTTGAGGTTATTGGATTTGTTTTGGAAACATCAACGGAGCATGCCGCTTTTCCTAAACTAACAAACCATGTTTCCCTGGCTGTGCTCTGAGTGGATTCCAGAGGTCATTTACAGATTGTTAGATAGACAACTCATCATCTCCTTTAAATAGACAAACCATAACCCTTCTCATTTGTACTTTGAAAGTTGGAAATGTAAGTCTGTCAAACAATTTGCAGATTCAAGCAGCTTTGCACTTCATGTAGGGGACTGGGTTGCATGGTTGCAACAGGGCAGGCATGGACTTCAGTACAGTGTTCAAGCTGACCGTTTCCCTGATGGCAATTACTGCTCCTCCATTACACAGGTAAGACACAGGTGGCCAGCAGTCAAAAATTGCCCACATCAAGTCTTGGATGAGAATAAATATTGTTCAATCCAATATCTACAAGACTGATACCATGTTTTTTAATTCCAGCTCATAAAGACATTTCCAGCTCAAGAAGTGTTGTTAGTTTAATTTACTTACAATTTGTCCTGAGCTTTGAGGTCATTTACATGGCCATCAGTTTTCTATACCTTAAAAGTCTCCTGCCTATATCAATATGGCAGCATTGGACCTAGTCTGTACCAGAAAGTGAGGTGATTTTCAAACTGGGGACCCGATTTAATAATGCACAACCTTAGCCTCATTGATGCTTGTGAAATGTTAAGAGGATGAAAACAATTACCCTGGCTGGAAATTACAGAAATATGGATTAAAACAATTTTTAGTTGGCTTAATAACTTATCCAACAGATACAGGAGGAGCTCTCGGTTTACCTTTTCATGTGCTTTGCAGAAACCTGAAAGTGGACGGGATGAAATCAGACTGACTCAGCATCCCGACTCAACATCAACTTCAGTGGGATTAACCCCCAAATGTATGCCAATGTCCCGCCCCCTGCTGGAGAACACCGCCCCCCACACACCTCATATGCCTCTGTCTGCTACTGAACCTTTTCATCACTTCAGGGATTGTTTGCACAAATATGCTTTCTATGGTGTTTCTTGTCAGATTGACTGAAATGTGAAAGGCAGAGTCCCAGAAAGCCATCAACCCCAATATTCTTCACTTCGTGTCTGAGTCCTCCTTCAACTTCTCTGTAAAGCAGATTGAAACAGTTGGACCATACTTGCAAGTAACGTATAAGTGGAAATGAATGGTATTACCTTGTGGAATCTGCTATTGTTTATAACATTTGTGTATTAATGACCTTGGTCTTTACTTGGGATTCTGATTAATATAAGACTATCATAGAAGGGGTAGAATTCGTATCAATTTTAAGCCAAAACAAAATATAACTCATACGTGGTGTGATCTGTAGATGGTCTGTTACCCACTTCTCCTGGATGTATATCAGAACCTTGTCCAGTGAACCATTGAAAAATACTTTCAGTTGCAGATGAATCTGTCTGTTGTTTCCAACCACATGAGATCCCATTATCAAAATCACAGATCTTGCTAACTGTAAAGAGAACAATGTCAGAGTTTTATCATTACAGTTTGTGGCTCATTCCTATTGCTTCTTACCAAATTATTTCTAATGCATGTGATTGTAAAATTCTGCAGGGTCCTGTTATAAATGTTGGAATAAATCTATTTGTCACTAGAATAGTGGGAACAATTTCAGTATGATTCACATTAGCACAAATAGTGTGAAATTACCTCAAGGAAACTGTCTCTTACTGTTTTGGTTTCACACTATTGTAAGCTGTATAATGACAACCATGTGGGAAATTTTTAAAACGTATTTTTAAGCTTGGCAAAGTCAACAAAGAAGTAACTTTTACAAAGTAAAAAGGTCATATCTTTTGGTTGCTGATGGGTCTTTGTTTATACATGCCCAGTGCTTCCCTTATTACCGCAGTGCAGAACCATCAAAACAATTCAATATTTGTGGCTTACAGGAGGCATGGAGAGTAACAACATGTAAAGGGAGTTTTCTGGACACTGACTCAGTGCAATTTAACCAGTGCATGCACTGACGAGCACAAGGCCATTAGGCTTTGTTGGCATGTTGGTGAGAGCTTTAGGCATTTCTTTGTGCCCAAAAGCATTCAATCATAGACGATCAATTGTTAAGTCCAGGAGAGCTATTGAGGTGGGAAATGGAGAAATGTTTGCATTGGATGCCATTGGAACTGCTGTGGTTTCATAGTAACATTTGTAGCATACAAATGTGAGAAAATGACTATTTCTGAAAATTATCAATCCAACCACCACTACTTGACATTCAATGGTGATGCAATCACCAAATCTCCCACGATCAATATCCTGGGGGTTACCATTGACCAGAAACTCATCTAGACTCACCATATAAATACAGTGGCTATAGGAGTAGGCCAAAGGCTAGGAAGACTGTGGCAAGTAACTTACCTCCTGATTCCCTAAAACCTGTCCACCATCTTCAAGGCACAACTCAAGAGTGTGATGGAATACTCCTTACATTTCTGGATGGGTGCAGCTCTAACAACACTCAAGAAGCTTGATACCGTCCAGGACAAAGTAGCTCCCTTGATTGGACCACATCCACAAGCATGCATTTCTTCAGTTGCAGCAGTATGTACAATCTACAAGATGCACTGCAGAAATTCACCAAAGATCCTTAGAAAGTACCTTCTATCTAAAAGGATGACGGCAGCAGATTCATGGGAATACCACCACCTGCAAGTTCCCTCTAAGTCGTTCACCATCCTGAAATTTATTGCCATTCCTTCACTGTCGCTGAGTCAAAATTCTGCAATTCCCTTCCTAAGGGCATTGTGGGTCAATCTACTGCAGGTGGACCACTGTGGTTCAAGAAGACAGCTCACCACCACCTTCTCAAGGGCAGCTAGTGACAGGCAATATATGCCAGCCGGCTGGCAGTGCCCATGTCCCATGAGTGAATGGGAGAGAAAGTATTGCTCTTCCTCTAGAGGACATTGGGCACCTATTTTTTTAAAAATGAATTTTTCTTGCTTCAAATCTGCCTCTGACGGGGCTGGGAACAACTGAAGCATCATGGGGAGCAAAGCTAAAACTTGCTGGACTCATTGGCAACAAATATCTTCAAAGGGTCCTTCAATATATTGAAGGCCTCTAACTTTCATCGTTGAGATTAGAATAATTTTTATTAGAAGCACCCGCCTGGTATTCCGAAACAAAAGTGCTACAATGGGGAAGAAGATTCACTCCAAAATGTGGGCAAGGCTGGAAACATTCAGGGAATAATGTGCACCATAGCTGCTGTGCTAGTTTGGTGACACCATCCCCCCATTGGGCCATTTTCCCAGAGGTTGGATTGGTGCAGTTCAAAATCAATCTTGCCACAGCTGACTGACGCCAACCGCAGATGCCGCCTTTATCGCCAACTGCAGACGGTGCCTGCTGTCACAACCAGCTTGAAAACGCCAACCTTGAAGGCCGCCTCCACCGCCTCAAGTCCTGCACTGGGCCTACCAATGTCACCACGCCCCAGCACCGTCTCTCCACGCTGGACCCCACACTCGCTGCTGCCACAAGTTGTCTAAGGGCTTGTTTTCCATGTGCTGGGCTCGCTCTCCCCAGTGAGCTGCCTCCTGCTGCTGATGCTGCCACACATGCTTGGGACCGCTTTAACCCTGCCAAAGATGCTGGAAAGGTCTCCAAAAGGGAAAAAGAAAAAAAGAGAGCAAAAGCGAAAGCAAAAAGCAAACGCAAAATAAATGAACAAAGTAAGCAGACAGAAGCAGACAATCCCTGAGCCAAGAGCTCGATGTAGCGGCATTCTACACCATCTTATTTGGAATTAATTAATTTGAAATACAGATGAATGTGTTGTTACGGAGTAAACAGTGCAAACTTTGAACTTGGGCTGAGAAATGTTAAGTAATGATTGATGTCATTAAATTACCATCTCCAAAGGCAGAGAGAATCTAACTACCCTGCTTGATATGCAATCCCATTACCATCACTGAATGTCCCAACATCAACATTACCACAGATCAGAAACCTAACTTGATCAGTTCCATAAATACAGTAGCTATAACAGTTGGCTAAAAGTGGAAATTTCGTACTTGATAGCACAGTTCGTGCTTTTCTAAAGCATTTCCACTAAATACAAGGCATAGGTCAAGAGTGAGATGGAATGTTTTAACTGCTTAAATAAATGAAGCTCCAATAGCACTAAAGATGCTTCGCACCATTCAGGACAAAGCAGTCCAAGCATCCCATCCACCACTTCAAAATAATCATATTCGCTACGGCCAGAGCAGCAGGAGTGTATTTCACACACACGTTGTACTAGAACAATTAACGAAAGTTCTATTGACTGCACTTTCAAAATGATCAAACTCTAGGAGCTGGAAGAATAAGGGCATCAAATGCATGAATCCCTAACAGGTTTCCCTTCAATAACTCTATGCTGTCATGACTCGGAACTATATCACCCTTCTTTCACTGTTCTCCAAACTTTTGGGACACCTTTCCTTGATTGTCTTTACAAATACTACAAATAAACACACTTGGCAGCCTATTTCCACAGCGTATGGGGAGAAAGCAGGAAGAGGATATTGAATTGGATGACCAGCCATGTCACATGAATAGTGAAGCAGGCTTGAAAGACGAAATAGCCTACTCCTGCTCCTATTTTCTCTGTTTCTATGAGTAAGAAATGGAGCTCAAAGTAAGAATTATGTTATACAAGAAAAGCAAAACGAAAAGTGTCCAGACGGATTGCACCTTGCAAAAGAGAACCACGGCTCTCTGTCTGTTTCCGATCCAAATGGTCTGCACATGATTTGTGAAGATGCTTCATCATTACTTTTTCAAGGGCAGGAATGGATGGGCAATAATTTTTGGTATAGCCAGTGACGTTCACTTCTCTTGAACAAATAAATATAAAATAGATATCACCGGACGTCTGTCTCAAATTTTTCGTTAGCAAGTTTATCATTTGTCATATTAAATACATTTTCTGAGAATGATATTTGAATATTGAATTCTCCCAAGTTACCTTTTAATAGATATTTTTAATTGTGGAAAAATATTGGATACTTACCGCAGGATAATTCATCTGTCTTGTCTGAACAATCATCCCTGAAATCGCACTTCTTGATGATGTCAACACATTGCCCATTAGTTTTACAAATAAATTCATTGGCTGTGCAGTTATTAGGTGGAAGTGTCAAAGGTCTCGATGGGCCTGATGGTGTTGTTGGAACTACTGCTGGTAAATCACCTGAAAAGGTAATAGTTACAATCAGTTCTGAAAAGGATTGTTGTGTTATCTGTTTTAGAAACAAAAGACACCGACATACACCATCCTAAACCTCCGCTGAATCCCTTCCCTGTCATGGGTATGCACTGCACATCTGTCAACTACTCACTGTTTCAAATATCTCTGTTTACCCATGTCAGAACTCAAACTCTGGAATAAGTAACATCTTTAAACCTTTCTCAGTCCCCAATTTTGATTTGTCATTGAGCACTGCCTGGTGTAATGACAACCACAATCTGTATGTATGAAGCTGATCAGTTTAGAGTTCTTCCTCAAACTCCTGACAGTCATTATTTACTTACAACACAAGACCATTCTACTGATGTCAGTACAAGAGAACTGTATGAAAACTGACAACTATAATAGTGCCTGTGTGATTGCGACAAAGATTAAGAAGTTTGATTTATTATAATATTGGATTATGTCTTTGCATGAGAGTATGTATGTGATTGCATATCTGTTTCACACCAATCATTGATAAGCTTGTTCTGAATTTTAGTCACTCTCGTACATTGATTCTTTTTGGCTCAGTGCATGATTTTCTTTGAATCTCCGTCGTACGCATTGGGATCCTTTTGACCATTAAAGGTGGGATTTAAATGCAATATTCTCTTCTTCTTGCTGTTTCTGCCTGTTCCAACCATTATCCTATAGCTCAAAGTGGATGACAGAACAACACAATCTTTTCAAAAGTCCTCAAGCTGCCTCTGAACACAATTAATATTCAATTATCTTCTATTTTCTGCTGCCTGTGTTATTTCCAGAAAATACCATCTTGTATTATTAATTCCACAGTAAAGCAAAATGTTGGATTTTCATTTTGCTATTTATTGCTATCTTGGAAACACATGTTGCAGGGCAGTCCACATGTCAGAGTAATTGACAGGAAAAGCAATAGAAAGCACAAACCTTATACTCATTCATGAATAAAGTCTGAAACTGAACAACATTTGCAAATGTTGCAGAGCCGATAAAAGTTTCCTTGGAAGTATTTTGTGAAATGAGAGATGAGTGAATATTTTTAAATTTGTGCTTTGGAAAGAAAAGATAATGGAAAAGCTAAATAGTTTAAAAGATTTCATAATATGGAACGCTCAGTGATATTGAATTCATTCATAATTAATGAAGTAGTAAATTGATTAAACTAAGCTTGTTGTTAATTCTGTGACTAGCAACTCGACAATGACACACACGGGTTATGTCTTCTTTCCAGATTTGCAAAATGAAAGTCTATCCTTTTTGCAGCTTTCCAAATGCACAGTCATCTCATGGCTGAATAAAAACCGAAAGAACTGTGGATGCTGTAAATCAGGAAACAAAACAGAAATTGCTGGAAAAGCTGAACACGTCTGGCAGCATCTGTGAAGGAAAAAACAGAGTTAACGTTTTGGGTCTGGTGACCCTTCCTCAGTTCTGACACCAGGTTATAGTCCAACAGGTTTATTCGAAAACATGAGCTTTCAGAGCCTTGCTCCTTCTTCAGGTGTTAAAGTTCAGAAATCACATGACACCAGGTTATAGTCCAACATGTTTATCTGAAAACACAAGCTTTCAGCCCTTGAAGGAGTGAGGCTGCGAAAGCTTGTGTTTTCAAATAAACCTGTTGGACTATAACCTGGTGTCACATGACTTCTGACCTTGTCCACCTCAGTCCAACATCGGCACCTCCACATCACATCTTCAGGAGTTAGTGAGAGAGGAAGTATCAGGCTCAGAATTTATAAGTAAAAGATCAAAGGGTCACACAACTGATGAGGATGTATTAAACAATCCTAAGATGCCGTTAAATCCTTAATCAGTTAGAAGGTTTTAATTGATTAATATGTATACGTAAATCCCCAAATTTCTATCATGTCTCTGCCCTGAGACAACTAAAGGTATTATCTGTGTAAAGAAGAGGTAATATTTTAGGCCAGACAATGCATTTTAGGTATGAGGCCTTGTTTACAATCTGTTTATGTGTTGGTTTGGAGTCAGACTGGTTTTATTTCTAACGTAGGAATTTATAAAACGCCACATTGACTGACTGTCCGTAAATTGAACAAAATAGAATGTGTCTGCAAATACAGATTTACCTTATAGATTCACGTGTGTGTGTGTGTGTGTGTGTGTGTGTGTGTGTGTGTGAGTGTGTGAGACAGCGTGTGAGAGCGGGTGTGGAGGGGTGATGTTGACAGAAAGAGTGTGTTGACCTACAACACTGATATGCTGAGAGACTTTACCGTCGCACCTCTTGCAAACTCCTCACTCATCTCGTACACCAAATCTACAGCAAACACCATAATCTTGAAATCGATATGGAGTCCATATTCTCACCTTGCCCTCAAGATGCAGCGGTACAGTTACGAGACACTGCCAAGCAGACGAGGCAACTGAACTACACCACCTACATGCACACCAAGAACAAGAAGCTGGAGAAGCTTGGTATCACCACCAGCAATAACTAAGTCTCCCATGATACCAGCATGGGAAAACCCATCGTCAATTTATCTGACCACACCCTTCAACCTGACGAGATCGAAGTTCTCAGCCGAGGGCTCAATTCTTGACTCACCACCAAAATGGACCCTCATGGTAAACACAAAGGAATTCATGAGGTGAATGAGATTCCAAGAATTCTTCCAAGATGTCAGCAGCAAACCCAATGAGACAACCAATGAACCGGAACAGTCGACAGAGAGAACCATGTTGGAGTGACCAAAGAAGGATTCGAATTGAACCCCTTCGGAGGGCCATTTCCCTGGGCTTGACAGATATGCTCAAGCTATCAGAGAATATGTGAACATCAGATTCATCAGCTGCACTTACAAGGTAATGCAAAATATCACCCAGACACAACGCAACGCCATCCATGTTCTCGAGACTAATAGTTATCAAACCAGCAGACAAAGGAGGAGCCATTATCATACAGAATAGAATGGACTACCGCAAGGGAGGAACACTATAGACAACTACCTGCCAATCTGACAAAAGAAAACACCCGTTAACTGAACAGTCTGGAAAAAACTTTTGATCTAATCCTTCAGAGTACCCTATGCACTCATCCCACGTACTTCCCGTGTAGGGGACATCTACTGCCTTCTAAAGATACACAAAGCCAACACACCTGGACATCCTATCATATCAGGCAATGTGTGAGAACCTCTCTGGCTATGTTGAGGGCATCTTGAAACCCGCTGTACAGGGTTTGTTGTGACATCACTGATTTCTTACAGAAACTTAGCACCCATGGACCAATCAAACCAGGAACATTCCTCGCCACAATGGACATTTCAGCACTCTATCCCAGCATACCCCACAATGACAGCATCGCCGCAACAGCCTCAGTACTCAATACCACCAACTGCCAATTTCCAGATGCCATAATACGACTTATCTGCTTCATCCTCAACCACATCTTCACCTTCGACAACCAATTCTTCATTCAGACACAAGGAACAGCCATGGGGACCAGATTTGCACCCCAACATGCCAACGTTTTCATGTACAAGTTTGAACAAGACTTCTTTGCTTTCAAGTTTAACAACATCTTTCCTCTAAAAGGGAGACTGGAATTTAATGCACTATTCCAAAGTGGCCTAATCAATGTTCTGTACAGCCACAACACGACCTCCCAACTTCTATACTCAATGCATTGATCAATAAAGGCAAGTATAACAAATCCCTTTTTCTCTATCATGTCTACCTGTGACTCTACCTAAAAGAAATAAGAACCTGCATCTCGAAAGGTCTCTTTCAGCAAAACTCCCCAGGGACCTATCTTTAAGTGTATAAGTCCTGCCCTGGTTTGTCTTACCAAAATGTCACACCTCACATTTATCTAAATTAAACACCACCTACCAGTCCTTGGCCCATCTGATCAAGGTTCCATTGTATTCTGAGATAAGCTTCTTCAATATCCACTACACCTCCAATTTTGGTGTCATCTGCAACTTACTAACCATACCTCCTATATTCACATCCAAATTGTTAATATAAATAACAAAAAGCAGTGAACCCAGCGCAGATCCTTGCAGCACACCACTGGTCTCAGGCCTCCAGTCTAAAAAGCAACCCTCCACCACTACCTTCTGTCTTACTCGATAATAATTGGCAGATCATTATTAGCATATATTTAGTGTGACTTATACAAAATGAATATATACAAATATTTTTGAAGAAATTACTTTATTTTTCTTTAGAGTTGCCTCATCACTGTCATATTGCCTTTCATGGAAACCTACTGTGCATAAATTGGCTGTTACAAATTATTATATTACAGCAGTGATTGTATTTCAAAAGTACTTTATTAGGCATAAAGCACTTTAAGACATCTCGTGGTCATGCAAGATGCTGTTTAAATGACAGTAATTCTTTTTCTTTCTTTTTCTTGAATTTTTGTACATTTTATACCAAATCCTGTTTCCTTGTCAGCCCTGTAGTCTATAATTCACAGTGACCTCTGTCCACTGATGTCTCTAGTTTAGTATTTCACCCTGCTGTTCAAATGTCTCTGTAGCCTCACTCCTTCTATTTCCTTTACCTTCTTCAGCCCTGCACCCCTCTGTGACTTCTGTAGTCCTCCAAATCTAGCCTCTGGGAGACCTCTCCATTTTCCACTTCCTCCAGTTGACCTGATGGTAAACTTGAACTCTTCCATACACCTTTGTACCTCCTCCTTTAAATATCTTTTTTAAAGTTGATTCTTCAACCAAGCTTTCAGTCATCCATATTAATATCTCCATTTATGGCTAACTATCAAATTTTATCTGATTATACACCCATGAGGCACCTTTGGACATTTTGTTTACAGTAAAGGTGTCATATAAATGCAAATTGCTTCTTGTTACCTGACTTTGGTTCTTTGGTAGTATTCTAACTATTTTACTATTTCCAGAAACAGAGCAAAATCCATACTTAATTCCTAGGAGCATGAGGCAATGAAAGTGTTCTTTCTACCAACCATCATTATTAGAGATATAAATTCCTTGATCGTTAGCCATAAAGGGAGTGATGGCATATTGCCTGTTCCCTTTAGCCACACTGCAGTTACATTTTTTTCTAACATTACCTTTCAGCTATAAAAGCAACAATATAAAGGACATTAAAAGGAGGTCAAATCCTGAATGCTAATAAATGTCGATGAAACTACTTTTATAATTGAACAATAAATAATATACTCACCATTATAGAGCGCACAATCCATAAAGGATAGGTCATCAATTCCAATGTCTCCTCCTAAGTTATCTCCCACAGTTCCTTCTATTAATATCTGTTACAAAGAACACAAACAGAAACATCATCCTCATACTTGATACGTTTTTATTCATCTTATACAGATACGGGGATGCATTATTCAAATCCAACTTCGAGGACTGCTTGTGTGACTAGAAGCCAGTGTCCAGAGGCATACTACAGAGATCAGTGCTGGGTCCCTTACTGCTCATGGTGCATATAAACAATATAGATGAGAATGGAGAGGGGATGCTAAGTAAATTTGTGGATGACACAAAGATTGGCTGTGTGGTTGACAATGTGGAAGAAGGCCTTAGGTAATGGGAAGATATAGACAGGTTGATCAGTTGGGCAGATCAGATGGAATTTCACCCTGCAAAGTATGAGACAATGCACTTTGGATGAAGTAACAAAATAAGGGAATACTCAGTGAATGGCAGGACACTGGGAAGCTCAGAGTTATAAAGAGTTCTTTGGGTGCTTGTGCACAGATTGCTAGAGGTGGCAGGTCAGGTAAATAGGGTAGTTAAAAGGCAAAGGGATACTTGTCTTCATCAGGCATGGCATAAACTGTAAGAGTAGGGAGGTTACCTTGTAGCTGTACAAGACTTTGGTTAGGCCACAGCTGGAGCACTGTGTACAGTTCTTGTCACAGCACTATAGCAAGGATGTGACTGCATTGGAGGAGTTGCAAAGATTCACCAGGATGTTGCCTGGGTTGGAGCATTTCAATTATGAAGGGAGGCTGGATAGGCTTTGGTTGTGTTTTTTAGAGCGAAGAAAGCTGATGGCTGACCTGATTCAGATGTTTTAAGATTACAAAGGGCATGTACAGGGGGAAGAACTACTCCCCTTAGTTGAAGGGTCAATAACATGCCCCTCATAATCTTACATATCTCAGCCTTCAGCCTTCTTCGCACTAAAGAAAACAACCCGAGCCTATCCAGTCTCTCTTCATTGCTGAAATGCTCCAACCAAGACAGAATGGGACATAACTTCAAAGTGAAGTGGGGAAGGTTTAGGGGGCACTTTAGGACAATCTCTTTTACCCAGACAGTGGTGGAAATCTGGAATGCACTGCCTGGGAGAACAGTAGAGATGGAAAACCTCACAACCTTTAAAAGTTATGTGGATGAGCATTTGAAGTGTTATAACATTCAAAGATATGGGCCAGGTGCTCTATTATGCTGTGCTGTATCATACAATTACTTCTTTACATTTGCAATCACTTAAAAAAATAACCTTGAAAAATTTTGCTTTCCGACAGCTGTAGTGGCATTAAAAAAAGCCTTGAGTATGTAAATGTTCATCTCCATTAGTCTTTACTTCCATTAATTTTCACTGCCTTCTTTAAGTGCAAGTTTTTACATGCAAACTTGGTATCATTTAAGCACAAAATTACTATTTTCTCTTCCTTCCTATTCTTTGCAATCTCATGACCCTTCATCGAAAAACTAAGACAGAACAAAGTGGCTAAAGCGTGTCTAACCTCTGAAATCATTGATAGCTATTGAGTATCTTGAGCACTCGCCCCATTATCCCTTTGTGGGATATCAAAAAAACAATTAGAATATTGAAAGGAAATAGTAGGAACTGCCAATATTGGAGAACCTGAGATAACAAGGTGTAGAGCTGGATGAGCACAGCAGGCCAAGCAGCATCAGAGGAGCAGGAAAGCTGGCATTTCGGGTCTGGACCCTTCTTCAGAAAA